TATCGATACGTGTCACAATATGTCCAGACAATTAAGTACACATCAATTAGTTCCATCTCCAAAAGTACTGCATTATTAAGACCTACAAATAAAGCCACATTTAGGGTTAATGTGAGGGATGCAGTAATTCACATGTGGCTATGAAGCTAACTATTCTCAACCAATCCACGGGGAGCGACTTGTCTTGCTCCAACTTTACACAGATATGTCTCTTCTCAATTTAACAGCTGATACTCTTGATACAACTGTGTAAATAAATGTTCCCGGCAACTATTTGAGGATATTTGCTAATGCTTTTGTCTATTCTTATCTCCCGTATAGGAATTGCAAAATCTCATCAACTATAATTCACATGAAATCAAGTGATTTTTTTTTCTTCAAAATAATCATTCATAGTTTTGCAAATCAACTCCATGCCCTCCAAATTGCTTGTTTCCAAGGATGAGACAACGAAATTTAAATTGAATTAAGAAAATTCTGCAGAACATATATTTCTATTTATCTTTATACCCGATGGCTTTCTTCAGTTTGTTCCACCGGCTAATGTGAAAAGCGAGTATTGGGTCCTTTGAATCTTGACCACATGTGCTGAGTCCAGATGTTCCTGACTTTATAGTGACTCAGTCCCAACATAATGAGCATTTTCATATCGCCAACAAGCCAGATGGATGGTTTTACAAGTTTGCTTCACAAATCCACCTGGCAAAGAGCCAAAAAAAGTGTTTGCAAAGGAGCAAGTTCAGGTGCCAGAAGTTGGTTGTCTCCACACAACACAGATGCGAAGCTAGTCTCAGATGCAGTGATGAGGCAAGAAAAAAAATAAAAATATTAGCCCAGTGATTCACTGGCAAAATAAAAAAAAATGCAGGGTTATGCAGGGTTACAAAGGTAAAATACACTGCAAAAAAAAAAAAAAATGCAGGGTTATGCAGGGTTGCAAAGGAAAAATACACTACTGTGTTGCCTAGTATTCATGATATGGCACTTAGTTAAAAAGAATGAACAAATTTAAATATATTTCTTCATGCTTCGATTTGGAGTAATATCTGCTCTGTTCCAAATGTATGTGGACATATAAGGATGCTGAACTGTCCTCACTTTTTTCAACACACTGCAATTATTCTCAGCTACATCTACAAAGTATATACTGCGGCCCGGCTTGCGATTTTCTCTTTCGATTTCAACCCTTTTCAAAATAATCGGAATCAGATGGAGGAAGTTTCAGGTAAGTTTCAGTGTTTGCATTTGGACACACATTTCTTGAGACAATTCTGCTTTTCAAACAAATATGAAAAAGATCACCTTTGTTTATCTGTTTAACTCTCTCGCTCGGTATCATATATTTCAAATGTATCTCTGTCAAAGATTATGTCGAAGATGTTTAGGCATCTGTCAAATGCATCTCTTTTTTTTTTAATTTGCTTGATAAAAAAAATTTGATTTCAGATTAAAGGACTTCATGCATAAATAATGGTTAGACTATTTTCCCTCATTGTTTTGCTGACAGTATGTACTTCATCCATCTATGGCCTGAATCAATAAATACAAATTCATCAGTTAATGCTTTTTTTTCTCTTTTTTTTTTGCATGTTTTGTACTTGAAAATTCAAAGGACATGCCAAAAATTTACATCATTGTTGTTCTGAACATGAAGGGACCAAGAAAGAAGTTATTTCATACATTTTACATATTTTTAAATGAATCATCCAATTATCTGTCCGGTGATTGGAATTTGTTTCTGTCAATCACTGGAATCAGCACCGGCCTAAATGAAAAATCCATATCAGTCGAACACTTGTATAAACAGATTTAGTGTCGTTTTTACATAAATCTTATTTTTTTTCCACATCCTGAAAAGATGCTTGTATATTACTTTTTTTTTTTTTAAATAAGCTGTAATCAAGTCAAAGTCAACGGTGTATACTGTATATGCAGTGTTTACGATGGCAAATAAGGGAACTGGGCTACCTTGGTGAGTGTTTGTGAGCTCTCCTGCTGTTATTGTTATTCACAGAGGTGGTGGCATTTTGTGTCAGGTTACATGTCGAGCGTCAACACAGAGCCCTGATGAGACTTGAGTGTCTCTCTCATCACATTATTAGGGGAGCATGTTCCTTCAGGAGAAGAAGTGGAGAGAGGGCTCGGCTTTAAAGAATTTAGAGTACAGTCCATGACCGATTTAGTCCGAAGTTCAATGGACGTTTCTACTACTATTAGAAATAGTAAAATAAAAAGATATTACGACTGTTTTTCAATCAACATGACAAAAGCTGGGATTACCTGCACCACATTTTATTGGAAATGTTATAGAAACCAGCCAGCGATATGGATTGCAAAGAAAGGCAGCGGTACCAATATTAGAGGAGATAACAAGCACCTGCATCCAAATCAAAGTAGGCAAAGGGAATATCAAACCACACTCACCGTGCATCATCTGTTATAATACACACGAAGCACTATTCATCTTCTTGGAGATCTGCTCCCAGATTATCCTGCCTCTAATTGATTTAGCCAGGTTTAGCAAATTGTTTGTAATCTCGGATAACTAAGATGGATTCTGCCACAATGATAAGAACCTGCATGATTTATAGTAAGCCATCAAATCCCTCCTCAATGTAGAAGGGGCAGAATAATAAGAGTGAAGAGGCAGAGACTGCTGGAACTGATTGATGACGATATATTTGGGATGTTGCAGGAGTACGCGATCATTCAAGGAATTCATTTTACAGATACGATAGTGGAATTTAGTCCATGTTCTTGCACGATGTTCCTCTAGAGCACGTTAAATACCATATGTTTCGGTATATGATAAAAGGTGTAGCATTTTCTCCTTGAGCAGGAAGTCTTGTTTAATTCCATTGCCAACCTCAAATGGAGCCTTTGCTGAAAAATATATTCAAATAATTGTGGCTGTTTCATTTTATTATTTTATTTTTTTGTAGCGGCTGTCACGTTTCGGTTTGTGACCAACAGGTGGCACTGTGGGGCTTTTCCCCCTGTAGCTGCACACCTGTTGGTAATTTGGTAATTGGAGCTATAAAAGGACTCCCAGCCTGACCACTCACTGTCGGGTCATTGTTGCTTTGTGCTACTGTCATGTTTGTTTGCTGTCATGTTTGTTTGTCAGGTTTTGGTCAGTGTTATGTTTTATCTTAAGTCATGGTTTTTGTTTGTTACTTTGGACTTTGTTTTGGATTTAGTTTTCTTTGTTTTAAATACACTTCTTCGAATACACCCTGCTCCTCCCTCCTGCCTGCTTTTTGGGGTCCACCACCATCACGCAAACGTGACAGCGGCAAGTGCGGGTGCAGAGACTACATAGTCTTAGCGCGAGGCAAGCAGGCAGTTGATACATCAGTGACATGAAAGGATGCGAGAGAAGCAAGTCGAACAATCCAGCATTAAAAGCATAGTTTCAATTATCCTGAGAATGCATCGGCGGTGGATGTGTCGCATTCTTCTGCATCCAGGAACAGCCACCCACAGACATCTATTAATCTTTTACCGCTATAGGCACTACTTAGAGAATCACATAGCGCTGCAGTCAGGTTTGTAGTATGCGGCTCCGAAATAGAAATGGAAGCTATGGAAGCTTTGTTTCAGTAATCAGTGCTGATGTCTTTGTCTTCATGTGGTCGATGCTGCTGATTTTTTATCTGAATGTTCCGCGTCGAAATTCTCAAGCTACACTTCCCTTTATCGTTCGGCAAAGCTCCAGTGAAGTACCGAAGACTTGCCATGTGAGCTTCAAATTGTTAATGTATGCAACAGACCCTTCTTTACCCTGCTGAGGTAGACGGAGCTACAGGCTTTTACCCTCTGGCCAGAGCAATCCCCAGAACCCATCTGAGGCCTGCTGGGACCCAAAGCAGAGATCTCTTCCTGTGTCTCTCCTAAGTACACTCTCAAAGCACAGAACTATTGTTTCATCCTCACGTTGCATTTGTCACGGGTGGAAAAAAAACAAGAAAGTCTGGATTGTGCTCCTCAGATATAAGTGCAGTGTATCCCCTTTAAGTCAGAATAGTGATGATTAGATGGTTCTAATCTAAGGTGTAGCGGTTTGCACCATTGTCACAGAATTAATTTGCTGAATATTTCATCATACAACGAGAATTTTGAATCATTTTCCAAAGTGTATTATCAGAGTATCTTCTAGTGTAGTATGCCACAGAAAATTTTGACTCTGACTTGCTGTCGAAAATGACGTCGCAGATGCTCAGGGCTCAGGTAACAGAGGTCTAGCTGTGATTGGGGACATTCTCGCTCTCTCTCACGGCCAGTACAAGAACCACCCTGTTCTTGCTGGATCCGAGATTCGACTTCCAGACTGAACCTCCTCTCCAGCACCTCTCAACAGACCTTACCAGGGAGGCTGAGAAGTGTGATCCTCCTATCGTTGTAACACTACTTCTAATCACTTTCCTGAAACAGGGGACAACCACCCTAGTCTGCCAATCTGAAGGCACTGGCCCCCATCTCCACGTGATGTAGCAGAGATGTGTCGACCAGTACAGCCCCACAACATACAATAAGTGCCTTTATTTTGTTTTATTTACCTCTGCTTCCTTATTCATCAGTCAGGGTGCTTCATGGCAAGAGGAGAGGGATTACAGATGATGTTTGGAATTTGATCGACTTTGTGTGAGGAATTCAGTAAACTCACTGTCCAATGTACAACGCCTGCTTCTCTGTGTCACTTTAGCCAAATATTTTGGGAAGGCAGTGCAAGGATGTGTAATTTGATTTGACTATGTCATAATATATTTTATTTCTGGTTCTGTGGATTCTTAATCTCATGCCTTCAATGGTCCCCATCTGTGGTGGCAAGACACACTTTGGAATTACTCATTTAGATGCCCACTGAGCTGAGGTTAAATGTCACATGTAAAGGTGTGCACATTATTCTAAACAGTTTTTTGTAAAACTCAAAAATTGTTCAGCAACTATAAACTTTGGAGGTTCCACTGTATTTGTCCATGTCTCTGGTGTCACCTCACCATGGCCAAGGGCACGATGCCTGCCACATCCTCTTGTGCCAGTCGGATCTCAGTGTCAGCTTCCTGCGTGGCAGAGCGACTGGCCGGGTATTCCACCTGCCACGCCATCCAGCGGCTACCCGGCAGCTCTGGGAAACTCTCAATTTTCAGATCCACTTGCAACACCCTCTGGACTCCCATGTCCTCCCTAGAAGAGTGCAGAAAAGAAATGGTGCCAATTAATGATTCAGCAGATTTCTGTGATGTAAATGATGAGCCAAAATGTGCGACTTTGTGTGTGCGTACAAATATATGCTTGTTCAACAGTTGTTGAACTTGTCGGCCCTAATGATAACTAACGGTCGATACCAGCTGCAATCTGTGACATTTAACCCAGAGAGATTCTTCCAAACGTCATGTTCCTTTGTGTTTAACTATTAGGATACTGTTCTATTTTGTGGAATTATATCACCTTTCAGAGCTCTTCAAGGCTGTACTTTTTCTCTTTTTGTTACCCCTAGCACAAAACTGATGCCGGACCTTGTCACAAGTGCCTGTTTTCCATAACAGAATGTAAATCACACAGCATGCCTCAGTTCAATCTACAACTGCCCCGAATTAAGTCAGACAAATGATGAGCACTGATCGTAAAAATCCTCATAGTGCTTTCAGTCTTGGGTGTTAAATAGCCCAGAGAGAAAAAAAGGTCAGCTTTTAACAGAGGGTTTGGGGTGGCGGAGGATGGTACCAGAAATCTTGCCATACAAATAAATGGCAATTGTAACAAGAAATTGAATGTGGATGCTGAGAACTGCAGCTGCGGATTTGAAATGTCAAAGGAAATGAGTATCGTGACACCGATTAATACATCACATCACTTATCATGTAATCCCCAGACATCAGACACTGAATAAGTTCTTTGAGATGATGGATGTCAAGTCATCAGTATCATATCATCGCTGATCTGTACACGATTGTCTCTTTGATTTGCCTTCCAGAGATGTTTCTTTATTTAGAGTTATTACCAGGAATAATCCATGTGTTGTTTGTGAAAATGTGTACCTTGACAAGATCCTCAACAGTCCCCATTTTGACACAGGGATTTTCCTCCTAACACTGTATTAAATAATTCCATGTGACACTTAAGTGGGATAGGGGAATGTATGTCAAACAATACAATAAAACCCACAACCAAAAAAAGTATAGTACTTTCAGGGTCGACCACAATTTCTGGCAAACTAAATGTAACGTCATGAAGTGAGGAAATTCATATTTTGAACATCTTGGAAAGACAACAGTGCACATGTACTTTGTAATATCTTCAATTATAGATACAGACCTAAAACACGAAAATGATAAATAATAGAAATTGCAAGTCTTACACTAATTTCACATACTGTTCAGGCTTACTCTGAGCGAGTGAAAGATCAGTTTGGCAACAAAGCAGGGAAAAACAATATTTCGCATACAACGGCAAGTGTATAAATAATACAGATGACACGCAAATAACTTGTCACATTTCATAACAGCGTAGCGATTAGAGAATCGTGGGCCGTTGTGCGGCCTCACGGGGTTATATAACTGCTCCACAATGGTGCAAAGCGACAGATGATGCCCTCTTGCTTCGAGACCAGCTAAAGCCAGAATGTTCGTCGGGCAAAAAAATAAACAGGTCTAGAAATAAACCTATGAGCACCACACAGTTGCTAAAACCTGTGTTAACTATCAGCTCGGATGCCCTACTTTCTCTCCAATGTGTACACACAGGCTGCTTTGCTTAAAAGGTGAGACAAGAAAAGCCGACTGGGATGCGCATAGATGTTTTACTGTACTGTACTCGCTTTGATTTTGGGTGGAAAGTTTGTTTAGTTGACACAACAAAGAAATACAATTGAGTATTGACTCACTAAATTGTTCAGAGTCCATCTTTCTGTGGGTATGCAGAATGCTGCAAACCAATAACATTGCAAAATTATGCTACGGTTCAACACAAAAGTCAGTGGAGTGAGAGACCATTGCTTATAATGCTATGTTAGGGAACCCATGTATATCACACACACACACACACACACACACACACACACAAAAGAAAAATCACTTTCTTTGTTACTGGAAGGCATTAAAATACAAACTATGGACAAAATCAGTGGTGATTCTGCATCGGGGCAAGGGGCATAGCGGCAGTCACATCTTTCTTTCCTTAAATTATGTATGTTATGTAATGCAGTAGTGATTCACTTGGTAAATGTATGCATTCCAACATGTAAAGACACTTTTCTCACAATCCCTACAGCGTTATTCTTTGACCAATGACCTTGAGGTATGAACAGTATGTATGATTTCCTGTTCATGCTGTCTTTCGCTACAGGGCATGAGATCACTCATTGTAATGCAATATACAGTGCCATACATAAACCCATGCCCATATAGCTCTGCTTTTTTTCATTGTTTTTGTCTTTTATTTTGTCATATGGTGTTGTTGTTCGTGTGGACCCGTTGTGGAGTTTTAGCGTTTTGCCCACGACATTTGTCGAAGGAGAAAGAATATGTGCTTGATGGTTGCACCCTCTTGATAGGCACGTGTGTACTAGCACTGATTTTGATGGGGGGGGTGTCGGGGCTATTTGATTGTCGTTGCTCGACAGCCCCGGGATGCTTGTGTTTTTTGCGCCTGTAATGGGCAGCATTTTTCACAGCCCCATTTTGTTCTGCGGTGATGTTGGCACTGTTGGACAGTCTGTGTTGGTTTGGCTGGATGGAGGGCTGCTAAAGCCGAGGATAAGGATAGGGGAGCGTCGGCGTGGAGCACGGATGCATATTTGGAACTTAAAGTCGGCGCTTGGACTTGAAGCGGATTTACAGGGGACAGGAGGAGTGAACAAATCTCAGCAATGGACACTTCTTGTTTACTTTCAAACTTGTAGCAGATGGCGCTTTGCACGCTTTGAGCATGACACCTTTGCTCCACTGGTGAAAGGACACTTTGATTTTCTCGTCTTTCATCTATGACTGCTTCAAACAACAACGCGTATGGAGGAATAGTGGTTACGATTGCATGACTGTCCATGTCTTATGTTATGTGTTGTGTTATATTACCGTATTTTGTTTTTTCATGTAAACTGTTCTATAAAGCGCATTGCGATAGCTGCAGCTGTTGTGAGAGTGCTATATAAACAAACGTATGATATTGTATAAATATATAGATAGATAGATAGATAGATAGATAGATAGATAGATAGATAGATAGATAGATAGATATGCGTTTGTGTCTGTGCCCATATTGCTGTACTAGACACAAAATTGCAATCAAGATGAAAATCTACATTATGAGAATGAGATTTATTTTATTTTGAAATGTACTGTCATTATGTTCAATCCTCCACACAGGATTTAGGACATATGGATGCATAGGTATGCACACATGCATATTGTGGCAGATCAATTAACATCTTTTTTGAATGGTAACACGTCAAAAATCTGTTTCTTGCACCTTCTTTAAGGTGATCCAGATTCATATTAACCTTGAAAAAAAAAAACCCTCAACAGTCCCCCCTCTTAAATCCAAGCTAAAGAAAACTAGATTTAAATGCCCAAAAGAATAACCAGTCACAGAAAAGAGTTATTGGAAAGGTTCACATTGCGACGGTTCCTCCAGAGGAAGTGATAATTGAAAGGCCTTCTATTGTCTCAACGATCAAACTCATTGTGCCACTGTGCCACTCCTTGTTTCATCCCTACCAAATAGGCCAGAACCATCTGTCCTACGCGTTCAATTGGGTTTAGAGAATACAACAGGGTGACACAAATTCTCTAGCTTTTGTCTCAAGAACAAAGTGGCACTCCAAAATTGTATTTCCCTCAACTGGTGGGATTATTGCATCAATAAGAACTTTGGTGAAACATTCGAAGGTCAACGAAGGTCCTATTTGGTATGGATCCATTATGTATAAGACCCTTTGTATAAATACCGCGGGGTGCCTGGGACAAATCTCAGCAGGCAGCACGCAACTGCGTGGATTCACAAAACAGGAAAACAGAAATGGCAGACGAAGATGACAACGTAGGCGGGCGGAACCATAGGAAGACCATGCATAAGTGTGTTCACAAGAAAAACCCAAATGACTTGTAGATGGAAAACTTTAAATTTATGGGTTCAGTGGTGCTTGAAACTCGACTGTTGCCATGCGCTGTCAACTGGAACTAGCAAAAAAAAACAGCCAGTACAATCAGGCCAGAACACATACACATACACTGACACAAACAAAGCAATGCATGGATTTACATTAGTAAGCACACGCAACTGTTAGCTGGTTCCATGCATGACTGGCCATCTTAAATTTAAATAAGCGGCTAAAATAATCAGTCCAGTGAGACAGAACACAGCACATAGGGGCAGGCTTCCGCATGTGCAAAACTTGGCTTATCAAATACAGAAACATTCAAAAAGAATCTCAGCATACTTTACATTTCTCTCCACCACATACCACAATGTGAAGAAATTTTACGGTGCCGGCATCTATGACTACTCATGACATTTTTGCCCAAAGTCAAGGAGATCAGATTCAGCTCCCTGCAACCCTGAACACGATAAGATAAGGTTTGACTGAATGATTGAATTTGTTGTTGGAGGGTGGCGGAAGCTAGAGGATGTTGTGGTCGGATCCGGATCCGTTCGCCGTCCTCTGCATCCTCCGAGTCCTCCGCATGTTCGTTTGAATTCGGGCTGGGTTGAGGTGTGAAATCAGAGGCTGGAAATGGAGAATTTGCTTCAAGAAGATTTTATCAGAACGTTCAGGGCACAAGTGTGATACAGACAATGGCTGTGGTCATGGCACAAATGCGGAGGGGCAATGTCCCAAGGCAAATCTTTAATACTCTAAACACTAAACAGGGCGTATGTCACTTTCGGTTTCCCGAATTGCTGTCGCGGCATATTCGTTTTCCCTAAAAGCTGTCCCAGCTCATTCGTTTACGAGTAGCTGTTGCAGTACTTTCGTTTACCTAGAAATTAGAAACTGTTCCGGTGCTTGTTCGAACGGGATTTAGGTGTGAAACCACAAGTCAGCGAAGGGGATGCATGCACAGCGTTATCTGATTAGGTTCAACGCGAGGTCACGTCCTAAGTCAAAATGCGTCTGTTTAAAATTATACTGTCAAACTGATAATGCACATCGCTAAATAATGGCTTCAATTTTATAGCCTAATTAC